GCATTCTTACTAATTAAGATGATTCTTCATTGGGTGCTTGGTAATGTGATTACCTTTTAAGATTCAACACAGACCACAATCAGACATTGTAATTTATATTTTTTCTGCCACAATTTTCTGCCATTATAGTTATGTAGGTCATTTCATGTTGAGTCTGTTTCAAAATAATTTAAAACTTTGCAAGACAGTTCAAAGCTTTATTCAGATTGGGAAATTGGGAGAGCCTATTTACTATGTGGTTGAAATCCAAGATTTCAGTCTTCTAAACTTTGAAGAAAGCAGAGCCAGCTTTCTTTTTGTTAATTGGAATTAAAATATGTAGGCTCTTTTATATTTATGAATTAGAAAGCAAAAGGCTATTCAGGAAGAAAAATTGCATAGAGAAGTTCCAGGGTTGAAGTTGTACACATGCCAGATAATACAATCTTTTGGTGTGTTTTTTTAAGAAAAAAAAAGTTAAATGTTTGCTTAGTTTGATAAAATAAACAGATGTGGAAGAACTAAAAGTAAAAATATAGTCATAATTCACACGATTCATAACTATTAACCTTTTGATGTGTTTCCTTCCAATTGATTTATTTCTATGTTTCCAAACATACAGGAAACCATATTATTATAAGTAAAACTCATACTAAAATTATATTTCCTTGACTTCTTATGTTGTTCAAGACCTCCAATATTATGTTGAAAACTTTTGTTACTAGTGAATAACATTGTCCCTTGAAAGGAATGCTTCTAAATTTTCTTTACTCTATATAATAATGTTTTTTCTGTATGTTTGTACCAAGATTATGTTTATCATTTTAAAAAGTCACTTTGTATTTCTAGTTTTTTAATAACTTTCTATGCTGAAAGGCACTAAATTATTATTTGTCCTGCATCTTTTGAGATAATAACTTGTTTTCTCTCATTTAAACCATAATGTGGCAAAATCACAATGATTAATTTTCAGCCCTGTTTAACTTTATTATAACTTGAGCTATCCTCTTTCTAATTTTATCTTTAAATAAAAAAATGGTTTTGTTTTCTATTTTTTGTTGCTTAGTCTTATAAGACTACTGTGTTAGTCATTAAAAACAAAACCAACCAAGATTTTAGTATTGTTGACTATCTCCATTTCTTATTCCCAGGGTCACTGATTTTTGTCTTGGGCATTTTGTTACAGGAATGAGGCTGGAGGCAGGGCTGGCAGCAGTGGTGAGAAAGGAAAGAGAGGAGGACTTGCCTTTGCTTCTTGTCTTCCACAAACCAGGACTGTCCATCCTTTTTATCTGAAAGCAAGTAGAATGAGGACTTGTGTAGTAAGCAGGATACAGCTTGAAGGGAGATGGAGAAAGGCATGCCAGGGAGGAGTATATATAGTGTGGAAAGAGAGGAAATCTCAAGCCATTCTTGGTCTGATACCAATAAATGGCAAGGATGCAGTGAGCCCAGTGGCTGTCTTTGTTTTCCTCTGTAGTCATATGCTACCAGAAGAAGCAATATTGGAAGGTTTCTCCAGAGGAACACCTGCAGTTGAACAGAAAATCGAATGTCTGTCATTAATAGACCAATGTATTATTATCAGTAAATGATTCATTTAGCAAATCGTGGGAATGTTTCTGGCTGTTAGGGCCTGTGCCTTAAAAGGATGTTAAGCCTAGACAAATCTGAGTGATGCAAAATCACTATTTCTTATAAGTATTTAAAAAATTACCTTTAACTTGTTCCAGAAGTAATTCAATGTGACTGTACTAACAGTAATAGAACTGTTTATGCTTAAAGCTAATTCTGGTCATGCCTTTTGCGCCTGTACAGTGATCTGGGATTGATTCTGAAATGCCAATGAGACTGCCCTTGACAGCTATTTACCTCTTTTGTTTGTGGTGTTTGCTGTTGTTCTATTGTGAGACTGAGAATATGGCTTCAAGTACTGTGTATACCTTTCGATACCAAGAGGTTGGAAACTAGTTATGCAATTTTCAGTCCTGTTAAACTCAGAGGAGTAAGTTCTTACCTAATAGGCTCTGCCTTTTTATTTGTCATCAGACCTAGTCAAGATTGCAGGGTTGGGGGGGGGAGGAAGTAAATGGGATTTTCTTTAGTGGATAAAAAGATACAGTTTTGTCAGATAAATATTGGGCTGAAAAATAGAAGGCAAGGGAAATATATTTGAAAAGTTCTGGAGATGAGATAGTGGCTCAAATCCAGATTAACTTAATGGGTCGTTTAAGTACAGCCAGAAAGAACTTTCAGCTGAATAACAGAGGGTCAGGTAATAGGCCAAAAGGAATTTTAGTAAAGTCTCACTGCATTCTCCTCTGCTTTCTCATTCTCTCACTAATTGAATAACATTGTATGTAAAGGACATAATTGAGTGCTTTAACTTCGAAGGTGTTCAGTAAGTTCTTTACTTTTCCATTATTATTCTATTTTCTTTCCCCCATTTGTTCCCTTGTGTTTCATTTCTCTTTGTATTTATAGATAAGCAGGTTTCTACTGTTAAAATTAATGCAAGTGCAAAAAATAATGCAAAATATCAGATAAATACAATTATCTGGCAAGCAAGTGGAAGTTGACTTCACAAATCAATTAACAAGGTTTCTTGCCCATTTGTAGCGACGAGACATATGGAAACAAGCTGATAGTATGTATGTTTTAATTTTTTTCTTCTTAAGTAAATCTTCTAGATTTGGGGTTAGAGTTAGTAGTATCTGTCTCCTTTTAAAAGTTTTCTTAATTATTAATTCATACTCAAAATGCATTGTAATATAACCTTATTGGAAAACTATTTAGCAATCTCTACTAAAGTCAAGTGTACATCTAAATTCATGGCATAGCAGGTCTACTCATTGTATATACTCAGGAGAATATGTGTCCACCAAGAGGTACATACCAGAAAGTTTAAATCAATAAATAAATGTTTACCAGCAGGAGATCAGATAAATCCATTTTGTTATATATTACTCAAAAATAATGATGAGCAAATGATGTCAGAAATAAGAGTATATATTGTATGATTTATTTTATATGAAGTTCAAATTCAAGCAAATTGAATCTATGGTGATAGAAGTCAGAATAGTGGTTACCAACTGGTTGGTGGGAGGAGTGTAAGTAGATTGGGAAGGGCACGTAAAAACCTCTTGGTTGCTGTGAATTGTCCACAGCTTGATCGGATGGAGATCCCCATATGTATAAAAACTTATTCATCAAGCTGTATCATATTAGTTGGGTACTTGATATAAGTTATAGCCAAATGTACATTGTATGAGTTTCATTTATCTTTAAAAAGGTGAATAATACTCTCCAAATACTAGTATACAGGCCCCCCCTCCCCAAATGTATACACACTAAACAGCTGATAGCTCAATTGATGTTTCTTTCTTTTCACATTTAAGCCATTGGAATGAATAATTATTCAAAGTGTGTTTATGTTTGGGGGGCACCTGTAAATATATATAATTTACTAATAAGACAAGGTAGTTATGCTAATTTGTTGCTCTTAACAATAGACTTTTAATATTGGACTAGTTTTCCATTCTGTTGCCACCATTGTGAACTGAGCTCTTACTGTGTCTGATTTTGTTCTTCAAAACTGCTTTATTTTCAGAATGTTTTTGAGTTAATATTATTTTGCATTTCATATTAGACACAGATTAAAGTAGCTTGTGAGGACGTTTTAGATAAAAAGGAAAAGCCTGCCTAAGTTTGAAAATTAACCAAGGGCCCTAGCTGGTTCAGCTCAGTGGATAGAGCATCGGCCTGCGGACTGAAGTGTCCCGGGTTTGATTCTGGTCAAGGGCACATGCCTGGGTTGCAGGCTCCATCCCCAGTAGGGGGCGTGCAGGAGGCAGTTGATCAATGATTCTCTCTCATCATTGATGTTTCTATATCTCTCTTCCTCTCTGAAATAAATAAAAATATTTTTTTTAAAAAAGAAAATTAACCAAGAATGGGCTATTTAAATATGAGTATATTTAATCTATAATATATATTTATTATAACATATATTTACATTGAAATATACACTTGGACTTTTAACAACACAAGGGTTAAGGGTGCCGATCCCCACATGGTCAAATATCCATGTATAGCTTTTGGCTCCCCCAAAACTTCTTAATTGCCTACTGTTGACTGGAAGCCTTACTGATAACATTAACAGTCAATTAACACATGTATTTTCTATTTTATATGTATTATATAATGCATTATTAAAATAAAGTAAGTTCTAGAAAAGAAAATGTTATTAAAATCATAAGGAAGAGAAAATACATTTACAATACTGTATTATTTATCAATACTCTAAGTGTACATCTTCTGTTTACAAGATAAATCATCTGTCATTACCTACATCAATATTGTCTTATATGATAGAAAACACTGTGGATGTTACATGTATTACTAACACTAGGCATCAGAAATGGAAAGATAATTGAAAAAATAAATTACTGTAATGATTAATGCATTGATAACAAAGAAAAGCAGCAATTTCATTGTTTTATGGTAGCCTAGCATAATTGATACAGTTTCTTCACAGTAGTAAGAAAATCTTTCAAAAATCTTTTCAATATATTTATTTAAAAATGTGCATGTAAGTGGACTCACACAGTTCAAATCCATTCTGCTCAAGGGTCAACTGTAGGTTAGAAGCTCTCTTAAACTATGTGCTTTATCTCTTTTATGTTCTTTTTGTTCTACTCAAATTGCTTGTTCAATATGCATAGATAATGAACAGGCCAACTTTTGTGTTAAACTATCATGATTACATTAAGGCTGAGAAATCCATAAAAGTGAAAAGTGGCTGTCAATGAGAATTTATGGTGAAGCTCATGAAAAGTTTAGAAATCTTAGTTTACTTGTATTGATGATTTATCCAGGGCTTCCTGTTTTACTGCTGGCTAAAAATTTTCCATATCTTTATCAAAGGTATTTGCTTCTATATAGTGGACTTGGGGTTCCTAGCTTTGCTGAGTAACTTGAAGAACGAACTCCTAGCTTCCTTTTGACTCTTGTTTTGACAGGCTGCCCTGCAAGTCGGGGGCCACGGGGAAAGGCTGCACCAGTGCCGGGAGGTCATGCTGCTGACCTACAAATCCATCCCCATGCAAGTGGATGGGGAGCCCTGCAGGCTGGCCCCCGCTATGATCCGGATCTCCTTGAGGAATCAGGCCAACATGGTGCAGAAGAGCAAGAGGAGAACGTCCATGCCTTTACTCAATGAGTGAGTCCGCCCCCTCCCTACCTTCCTGAACACAGAGAGTGTGGAGAGGACGACGCAGAGCATGTGCATGGTTGGGGCCTCACTGTGTTGAGAAAGGAGCAAACGTCCAGGAGACTCTGCAGTTCCTTAGTCTCTCTCATGTTTTTTCTTCATGTTTATTACACAGTGACCACATTCTTCTTTTAGAATTCATTACAGTATTACATGCTAGATTGACGATGCTTCTTCACTGACCACCTGAGTATACATTTCCTGGGACCATCAGAAACGCATTAAGAATCAGGGGCCATAAAATGCATCCAAATAAATGCGTTCTTTTGTATTTCGTTTTAGGAAGTCAGGCTGTCTGCCTCCTCTTTACTCAGGTCACTTGGAGAGTATTGGTTTTGCCAACAGCAGGAGGTTGGCAGAGCTGGATTTTGGCTCACCTGTCTCCTGCCTTTTTGGGGTCCCACTCTGTTGCTTCAGCTCAGTTTGCCATTCTAGGTGGCATTCTATTGTTTAGATTTAACCTGACCCACGATGCAATGCTTAAACAAAGTGTATCCTGTCCTTGACCCTTTCCTTGGTGTTTGGATAAACTGATTTCAGATAAGGTGATAATGACTAGATATTCATTTTTTTTTTAGCATCCCTTAATCTAATTTTTATTGAAATGTGTATCTGGGGTTGGTGAAGGAGATGGAAAAAGATGGGGATTTGGAGCATTTTTTGAGTATCTTCTATATATCATGCCCATATGACCACCCTGACTCAAGGTAAGGCCGTTTCAGGGCTCACCTTTGGGTCCTTCTTCTGTCACAGTGAGGGACCCTCCAAGGTGCTCTTCCTGTTTGTGGCCTGTGATGCATGGTTAACTATTTGTACTGAATGGCTGGCTTCCTCTAGTGCCTGTGAAGCAAGAACATGCTCTGCCATGTATTTATTGAGTTGATATGACAATCTACAGAAGTGCCTAGAATAAGCCAACGACATAGGTGCCATAGATCACTGCTGAAACGTGACCACCTCTCTGAGACAGTGTACATTGAGGAACAGCATTAGACAGGGCTCTTCATTTTGGGTGTTCATTTTGGGTGTTCATTTTGGGTGTCTGCTTCCAAGTCTAAACTTGGGGTAATATATCCTCTCTGCTCTGCTTCCTCCTTCCCCGAATCACTCTGGGCTTCCCCAGGATCTAGGGTCTCATTTAGCTATATCTCTTGTTTTATTACATTTTGCAGCTAGTGAAGCTCCTAGCTTATTCCTGATATCTTTACCTTCTATTAGGTTGGCTATGCAATTGCTGAGTTTAAATGTTAAAAAGTAAGATGTCAGCAACAATATATGGTTAGCCACATTCTCTCTAGAAACCTTAGAGTTAAGCCATGAACCATTGGTTTGGTCGAAGTCTCTGAACTGGTAGTGAAAAGCCTTCTCTGTGAGTAGCTCAGGCTGTTTGGGGTCCCGTGTAGGTAGCTTGTTAAGAACACATAATACAGCTAAATGTTCTTAGTGTTTATAGGCAAGGAACTCCAATTCTCATGTCTGGAACTTATCTATTTAATAATCTTATCAGACATGACATTGTTTTCAGGTACTGTATTTAGTTTTAAACACCTCTTGCCTTTGAGAAAGAATTTGTATTTACTTAGTAATTGTATTGTTAAGAATCCACGTAGGCTTTTTTCACATATAAAAACAAATATAAGTAGGTTGGGGGGGGGTTGTACTCATGACACACATGACAGATTTTGTGACTTCATAGATTTAGCCGCACAGGTAGGCAGGTGTTCAATAAGCCATCTCAACTCAAAAATAGTTACTTTCCACCAGGGGGCAGTGGTGGCTCCGTTAAAGCAGCCTTGGGTCATATGAAAGACTCATGCAAAATGGCATTAATAGTATGCTTTTGATTTTTAAAGAGAACACAAAGAAATATTCAAAAATAAGAAAGATCTTTATTACTACTTATGATAAAAATCATTCAACACTATATCTTTACAAAATCAATATAGGTAGCACGTTTCAAAGGAAAACAAAACACTCAGTTACCATATAATACTTTTTCACTAGACCTTAATTTCTCTTACCCACTGATCTTATTCACCCTCTGAGATTAGATTGCTTTTTTTCTATTTCTCTAGAAATCATTGTTTTGAAATCTAACTTCTTCTACTAGATTTATAAATGGAGTTTTCAGTTTAAGGGCAGCCTGACTATTAAGACCTTTTAAAATGTTTTCTCTCTTCCAGCCATGGTTGTATAAAGCTTACTATTGCAGCCAAGTCAGAGAGAGATCATTGAAAGATATATCTTTATTTCCTTCCTTCATTTTTTCCTTTTCTTCCTTTCTGTCTTTCTCCTTTTCTTTCTTTCTTTCTTTCTCTCTTTCTTCCTTTCTGTCTTTCTCCTTTTCTTTCTTTCTTTCTTTCTTTCTTTCTTTCTTTCTTTCTTTCTTTCTTTCTTTCTTTTTTTTTGCTAAGACTATATGTTTCTTCTGTTTCATTTGCCTGGTCTAAACTGTCTTAAGAATTTTAGTTAGAAAAACCTCTGTGTGTTGAGGAGATGGGAGTTCTCAGTCAGAAGAGGCTCTCCTTTATCTTAAGAAAGTATCCTTCATTCACATAGCATGTGAACTGTGAGTATTTGAGTTTTCCCCTAAACAACTGGCTTCCTCTTTGGCTTGAATGCCAGTGCTCCATAGGGATTTGCCCTTTATCTGGGAGAGCTCATCAGCACCCCACGTTTCATCTATGACTGATGAACTAATGAGTCTCAGATCTGCATCTTCAACAAGGGTTTCTTCTAAAAACTGAAGACTTTTCACTAAATATTTAAGTTGACATTTTTACTTGGATATCTCATAACAACATCAGACTACATGGACCACTATTAATAGATTCATTAAGTCTGTTCTCCTCATCACCCAGTGAGCCTTTTCATTCACATGTGTGTGAATGGAACCACCACCCACTCATTCACCACGACCCTGGTCCCCAGAGTCCTCACAGCCCCCTTCACTGTTACACCTCCAGTGCCTTCTTTGAAATCCACCTTCTATCTAATTCCCCCATCTTTAACTCTCACACCATCTAACCATCTTCTCTGCTAGTTACCTCTCAGTGGCACTCCTAAAATATGCTCATAATTCATTTCCTTATTTCCAGTGTTGCTGCCCTTCACATAATGCCTTTTCCAATAGACTAGTTGGAATGAACTTTCTAAAAATGTAAAGCCCATATGCTTTGCTTTACAGACTTTATGATCCTTGCCTTCTTCATCCTTATATCCCTATGCTGCAGAGATAATTGCTGGTCCTAGAGCAACAGCCTGTCTTGTGAATCATCATATCTTTTCACTTCTGTTGTCCTCACCTCCTTTCATCTGCTGATTCTCACTCAAGTTCAAGACTGCATTGATACATCACTTTTCCTAATAACTCTTCTCTATCTACTTCTAGACATTAAATACACCACGCAGTGCTCCTATAGTGCTCTTGCTTATACCATTTATGAAAAATAGTGTAACCATTGGTTTACTTGTCTCTCTTCCCTACTCTGTGGGGAAACCCTGGGGTTTTCCTTTTAGGGTCCTGGTACCTGCCAGTGTGCCCGAGACTCGTGGTTACATGATGAATAAGTGGCTCACACATGGTACAGATATGATATGTTTCTTTAAAATTATTTCTAAAATAACAAATCTAAGATCTCATGAATATAAAAATGATGTAGGAAATGTCTTGATCATATTTTATAATAACGAAGAATTTTTAGATCTGATTCACATGTATAACTGGAGGAAGTCCCATGAGAAACAGTTAAATAGTAGTTCTTCATAATGCCACTACAGCTTCACATATGCAAAAAGGGAAACATAATTTTTAAAAATGTCTTGGTTTATAATTCACTTTTGTTGTTATTATACACAAACTAAAAGACTAGTCCCCATTTGTGTTCAATAGTCCTCCCTCCATTGGTACAGGAATATATCTTATTTTATTGTGGTTATGAATCTATTCGAAATATGAACTCTAGCGAATAGCTTCCCACAAAAAAGTAATAGAGGAGATTTATGTAGGTTCATATTCCTGTACTAGTAATGTGTTAGCCACATTATGCTCCCTCTTTGAAAGGCCTGTTAGAAAAAGATCAGAAATTTGCTTAGGCCGGTATGGCTCTGTTAGTTGGGCATTGTCCCATGCACTGAAAGGTTGCTGGTTTGATTCCCGGTCAGGGCACATGCCTAGGTTGCGGGCGATCCCTGGTAGGGGACATATAGGAGGCAGTCGATCAATGTTTCGCTCTCACATCGATGTTTCTTTCTCTCTCCCTATCCCTTCCTCTCTCTCTAAAAAGAAAATCAATAAAAAAAATTTTTTTTAAAGAAAAAGATCAGAAATTTAACATTACTCGGTGTTTAGGGAGGTCTTAAGCTAGGCGATACCCTGAGTTCAGTAGTTATTAAAAATACATTGTTAAGGGTGATTGCATTGTCTAAGGACAAGATTTCTAGTTGCCAGCTTTGAACTAGTCAGCCCGTCTGCTGAGACATATTATTGGTTATAACTGATAGTCCTTGTGGAATCACAGGGAGTGACTTCATGGGTGAGTTTACACGAGACTTTACACATCCAGCAGAAAAGATGGGTCTGGGGAGCTAAGTCAATTGCAACTATAGTGAAACTGTTCAAATCGACGGAGAGTGTAATTAGGTAAAAGTGATAGGAAATTTGGGTTTTAGTTTGTTGAATTCTACATTTGTCTTTTCTAATAACCACCCAAGGCCCTCTCCTTAATCTAAGAAGGGACAAAAGAGAGATGTCGTCTATGGTTTTAATCTTCTACCATATGAGTGGAATTACGGCTTTGCTGTGGTAAATGTAGGCTTTGGGGGTATCACTTATAGAGTTCTTGAAAAGCTTTGGTGTTTATGTGAAGGAAGTTAAAGTTGAGTCAGTCTTTTCAACATGGTGGTCTTTTGACACGAATATTTCTGCAAAGCCCTGGAATTATAAGGAC